AAAGGGAAGCGACTTTATGGTGGTGGGAAACCGAAGTGCCAGATCAGAACTAATATAATTGCAGATTCTTCTTTAGATTATATCAAGAATCTCTAAACCTATAGCAGGAGCACCAGACCAGATGTGGTAGCAATATTCAAAGCAAGGATGAATGGTAGACTTATAAATATGTAAGATAGATTCTGGCAAAAAAAAAAAAAATTATCTAGCACAACATAGTGGACCAAGTTTCGTAGCAGCAGACCTAAAGCGCAATGAGTAACTCTCCTGGGGGTTGGCATCAGCCATATTGATGGAAGGTAAAAATGGTTCTCTCAGATGATTAATAGAGATTAATTTATGGAAAACGATCTAGAAGAGTGGCCATTCAAGACAACTTTAATTTCGCGATTTTTTACTGATATTTCATCCAATACCAGACACAAGGTCACCTCAGGTCGAGGGTCACTGAGTGAGATTTGAAAAATGGGGGGGGATGGCGGGAAAGTAAGGGAGTATTATGAGTACGAGTAGGATAGATATAGATTCTCTCTGGGATTAAAAAGACGAAGATTGTAATTGTTAGGAAAACATTCTCTCGGGAGTTTGTTCCACAAAGTAACAGTTCTGGGGAAGAAGCTGTCTGAGTGGAATTGCTTTATTTTTTATTTGCACTATTTATATTCAGACTATTGTCCTCATTTTTCTTGTTTTTATAACAACGTTTCGGTCGTTATGCTCCCCATCCATCGTCAGGTATATATCAATCTGCTTTTGTATAATGCTTCAGCTGCGAAACTATTTCAGATCCCAAATTATACTCTTTGATGGTAGAAAAGCTTTAGTTCTCACATGAAATGTTCCATATCCATGCAGGGTATGATGAAATGTTCCATATACATGCAGGGTATGATGAAATGTTCCATATACATGCAGGGTATGATGAAATGTTTCCCAGGATCTAACTTTGATGAATACCGGGTAATATATTAGAACCATTTGAAGAATTTCTCATTAAAAATCATTTCTTGTCTTATAAACTGACTTTCGGGACGGCATCGAGTGTAAAAGGGGAATAAGTGCAATATATCCTAAGTTTCTAATTGCAATCAAACTTCTAAGTTTCTTTCATATTATTTTATGTCCCCTATTAAAAGTCGCGACTAAATTTAATTAAGATAAAATATTCTTCAAACATTTTTATTTCAAAATGATGAACGGTTTTTTATCTGAAACACCATATTTAAGATTTACATCATATGTCAATTCCGACCGAAAGAAAATATTAATAATGTATTTTGATCACGTGTCCACATTCTGAAGAAAGCTTTTATCTTAACAGTCAATTCATAAAAAATATGTGTTGCAGCATACCTACGGACGATAATTGCCATGTCCCCCATTCACACAAATACTGTATGTTGGTCTGCAGTTGGAGCTTCGTCTGCAGCTGTGCTGGTCAAACTCTCTGCCTCCGGGCAAAGAGGATCCCCAGACGAGGCTATGGGTCAAAAGGCAGAGTCTCGTCTCAGGAAACAACTACCCGACCCCGTTTTATACGCGGTCTACCGGGAATTTTTGGCCTAGCCTACAGGTTCGGAT